GACTGCTGCTAGCTGGTCACTAGAGACTGCTGCCAGGGGATCGTGACCCCTGTATTGTGACCCCGCTCAGCGTGTGGCTGCGGTACTCTGCCAGCGAGGAGCTGGAGAGCAGTCGTTGGGGTACAAGCACCTCATGACACTGTCAGTGGGCTGGCCCAGGTGAACTCGCCGGTGTTCTTCCCAGTAAGGTTGGATACGCTACTGGACAGTGAAGAAATACTGGGGATTGGTGAACTCTGCACGTGAGCACTTTTGATATCCTGAGCAAAAGGATTGTACATAGGTGTAGAAATAGCCTATCTGTTCTTTATATATTATTTATGGTGACGGTGTACATATATATACTTAACGGTGGTGGAAATATATTTAATACATTGACGAAAGGAACAGTGTTTTATTCATCCCCTCCTTTTTTTGTACACTACATAGCCACTTTCTTGAAAGCATACTACCGACTTGAGGTCAGATACTATCATTTTGGTTCTACCATCAAAGAACCCGGTTGCGACCCATAGTGGGCGTAACAGCTGTCCTGTCGGCCAGTTAAGGAAGTGACCCGCAGAAAAGAAAACAGCCACCCAAAAAAAAGGAGACACGGCTGACGCAAGAGAGCCGAAATCACACCAGCAAATGTAGGAAAATAAAGCAGATGAGAGGAGGGCCGAAAAAAATGGCCCAGAAGACACAAAGCCCAAGCAGGGGCAAACAGCCCCAGAATTGCTAGCAGGCTCCCCCACAGCCCCGGGAACCAACAACAAAGGCCTTGGGGCAGTGCCGCCCTCCACCCCTGAAAAAAAAGGCAGAGTCCAGAGAAAAGGCAGCAAAGAAGGGGACTGCTGTTAGGACCCAAAAGTCTCGGCAGGAGGAGCAGCCTCGAATGCTTCCATCCCCAACCCGAATGGGCCAGCCCCCGAAGCCACCCAAGTCTTATCACCAACTAAACCCCACCCCAACCCCGACATCCTCAGACGATTCGAGGTCGGGAACAGGGAGGGAGAGGGAGGGGGGGGCAGAAGGGTGAACAATGCCTAACCAAAATGGGGCAGCCTCAGGGCATCAGAGTGGGCAACCAACCAGGGGCATTGCAGCAACCTAAACCTAGAACACAACATGGATGCTTCCTGTAACCAAATATCAGTGTCAACAGAATGGGCAATTGGAGAACATGCAGAGAACACGACTCTCAAGACTCTGGGTCAAAGGTGTCAGTGACTCAACAGACAGCATGACGGAGGCAAAAGCAGCAACTGTCACCCTGAGACAAGGACAAACAGCAATCTTCAAACTCACACAAGGTAACTTGGAATTCTGAAGATGCTTCCATAGGTCCACCAAGCCTCGACTGGGTTTACCAGGGCCCATAGGCTGACTGCTACAGGAAGCCCGGGTAAGGTATTGCTAACTGGTTAAACCCAAAGCTAACAAGGGAGAAGATCACAGCGCTTAAACCCCTGCGACGTGTACAATCACAAGAGGCACAGCAGAAGGCCACCAAATTATTATAATTGGTCCAATAGCCACACCAGGCAGATCCCCCACCAGGCAAAGCAAACAAAAAGAAAATAAAAACCCGCAAATGTACAACGTCCCCAGAGGAAACAGGAACTGACTGCTACACAGGTAGCTGGCTGCGCAACACCTTGACGCCCCAACCACCAACAATACCACTCTCTACCCAAGACCAAACAATGGCCATGAAACCCCAGCTGGCCCCTAGGGTGGGGTAGATGCCAAGTAGCAAGAACCCCTAAGGAAATGGTGTCCCGAATGCACCAGGAAAAAGAAGCCCGACACAAGGGTATACCCACAGGGCACTAAGTGAAGGCTGCCCTAAAAGCATGCAGCCCCCATAACACTTTAGGTACAACTGGCCACCACACCATGAACAGCAGAGGACACTACCAAGGGAAAACACTGTGTAGGAAATCGAGGCCAGAGATGATGACCACACTTGATTACATTAGCTGACAAACTGGAATGGCTAGGCTGCCTGGGGGTGGGGTTCGGGGCTCCCCTCCGGGGGGATGGGGGGTCACTGCATGGACGAACGATGTGGAGGTTGAGTATGATGTTTGTGTGTCTTCTTGAGCTTGGAGGGAGCTCTGCCTCTCTTGTTTGGTTTTCAGTTGCAATTTTCTTACTATATGGGGTCAGTTTTGTGATGCCTACCTTTCTGGGTGCTTAACCCTGGTCAATGGCAGGTAAGGAAAACCCCCAACACAAGAGGGTTTTTCCAGGGCCATTGCTCCCTGTGCCTCTCTGAGGGAGTAACAGGTTCTGGCTCATGGTCCCTGGTACAATACAATACAATACAATTTTATTTAGGTAAGGTACATACATACAATAAATATTTACAAGGATTGTTTAACTTATAGGTATAGCTAGTACATACAATGCCTAAAGCCACTATTACGCAAAGCGTTTCGGGCATGTTTAACTTATAGGTATAGCTAGTACATACAATGCCTAAAGCCACTATTACGCAAAGCGTTTCGGGCATTTTGGTAGGCTGAACTCCTATGACTAATACCCTGGTCAAATGAATTGTGTATTAGCCCGATAGCTCATGGGAGCCGAAGAGGCTCCCCCATAGAAAATCATAACAAAGTCATTAAAAATATTGACCAAAACGCAATGAGTGCTAGTGGCTGTACAAGAATGTATGAACTCTTGTATATATAAATAAATGAATAAAATAAATAAATATTAACCCTTGTGTTGCTCAGGGCTATTTGGCCATTGCCACCCACAGGGGCATAACAAAAAAAATATATATTTTTTCTTCTAAACCTGTTAATTTGTGTTCTCTGATCATGGGAAAAATAATAAAAAAACGTAAGTGGCATATTTTGCCCGCTATAGGGTGGGGAAGTCCGGCAAAAAACAGGCGCTGACTCATCATGCGTCCCAGGTGGTCTGCTCCGCCCCAGCTGTCAGGGGGGAGTGGCCACAAAAAGATAATTAAGTAATTATTTCAATGTCTCTGATTGATTTTTCTTCATTTTTTCCTGTGATATTATTCAATAGTGTGTAGTGTGATATATTTATATAATAAATAGCCACACCTGGGTTGTGGGTTGGACATGTATATGAGTGGAATTGGGTGGTTATAGATAGGAGCTGCCTCGTATGGGCCAAGAGGCCTTCTGCAGTTAACTTTGTTCTTATGAACTAAAAAAATGTGTGAATCATCGCTGTACTCAAAATTATGGTGTGGATGTTGTTGATTTAATTATTATGTTCGTCAAACAGTGAACAAATACTTTGTCGGTTATTACACTATATACACAGGTTATATATAAGTATCTACATGTTTTGTTCACCATAACGAACCACTAAGTTGGTATTATGAGTCAAAAAGCAACGAGTGACCGCCACACACCAGCCAGCCACTCACTCCCTCAACACCTCACTCGCCCACATTCTCCTCCCACCATACTGTTTTTGCTTTTATTCACTATATACAGACGTTATATGTAAGTATCTACATGTTTTGTTCACCACAACTGTACAACTAAGCTGATATAGTTAGTTCAAGCACTAAGAGACGTCGCTACACACATTCAGCTGGCAGCTGCCTCCCTCACACATTCGAAGTCAGACGCACTAAAATTTCTCCACCAACAATACTGTTTGTGGTGTTATTACACTATATACAGATGTTATATATAAGTATCTACATGTTTTGTTCACCACAACTGTACAACTAAGTTGATATAGTTAGTTCAGGCAATAAGAGACGTCACTACACACAAGTCAGCTGGCGGCTGCCTCCCTCACACATTCAAGGTCAGACGCACTAAAATTTCTCCCCCCAAAATACTGTTTGTGGTGTTATTACCCAAAGTAGATATGTGTGCATATACACACAATATATATGTAAGTATTTACATGTTTTGTTCACCATAACTGTTCAACTAAGCCGGTATAGTGCCCAAAGAGCATAGTGGCCAGCCCTACCAACATCCTTCAAGCTCAACAAGCTTGAAGCTATTGCAATTTCTGCTGTTCCATTCAACATGTAATTACTGTATTGTCATTCTTTTTTTCTACTTCAGTTCAATTTCAAAAGGAACATGTAATTAATGTAATTCTTTTTTTCTACTTCAGGTCAATTTCATACTTTTGATCTCAATTAACTTAAGTAGTTTTCAATCTTTTTCTCACATCTTGCCCGAAACCCTGTACATATTAGTGGCTTTAGGCATAGTATAGTATATAGTAAGCCACAATGTAGGACTGTAAACAGATGCTTTTTCACCCACAGGTTTATAAACCAATGAAACTGCCTACCCACCAAAGCCATAAATACCCAAAATCTGCTAAACTTTAAAATCCAGCTTGAGAAAATCATCAGGACACATGGGGGGACTTCGATAAGCCGCCGGCTTCCTGTCCTTATCGAGGCTACTAGTGTTAGTGGCTCTCAGATAAATTCAGACATGTCCGCCTCTACAAATATAAACCTTGTTGCTCATATTTTATATTTTGGCTGGGATATCTGCATTTTGCCGTCTGTTATCAATACCGACCTGTGCTTCAAATGGTTAACTAAATATACTTTATGTATTTTTGTCTTTTGGTACCAGAGTAGCAAGCTAGGGAGGCTAACATTTTGTTAGGTAGTGCTCCTTGTAAGTCTTTGTGATGCCAAGGAATGGGGTTGAAGTTTAATGCTTTCTGTGGACTCTAGAGCTGGATAATATTTTAGTTCTTCCTTGTACTGTTATGACCAAGTCAAGCTCACTACAAAAGTTCACTGTGGCATCAGAATATCTCCCGGTCTGACTCCATATTACACCTCCAACTGAGATAATGGAAGCTTACATTGTGAAATGTCCCCCTGCCTGACTCCATAATACACCTCCAACTGAGGCAGTGGAAGCTTACCTTGTGAAACAGCAGTGATCAATACATTCAGAAAGGCACTTTTCATATATACTTGAAGACTATTTTTGGGACAAAAAAGAAAGAAAATAAGAAAAAATGAATATACTTACGATGCCATGGTTGATTAAAGGATGGCACGTTAACACAAGTTGAAACTTGAGCAAATGATTCTTGACATCCAGTTCTGAGCAGTCTTGCAGCTATTTACTTCGTTGATTACACCAACTATGACACCCATTACCTGTCAATTATAAGTTTATCAGACATGAATAATTTATAAGCTTGAACAGTGAACGCTTCAAAAATAAAATCACAATAATGTGATGTATCAATAAGAAAATATTGTGCCAATAACGTGAGATAGAAATAGTGTTCCTGAACTCTTAGAGATGAGTATTCTATCCTTCCTCACTGACTCAGTATTAACTTAACTGAAAATGTTTATCACATATCTAAAATCATATAATAAATCTTAAACCTACTAAATAGGACAGTGAATAGTAAACTAAATAAAGTCCATCTTTGGCTAACTGCTAACAAACTCACCCTAAACATTGATAAATATATAAACTGACCTTCCATATTTTGTTTGGTAATAAATCATCAGATCAAGTTAATCTAAGAATAAACAATATCCAAATAAGTAAAAAAGTAGATGATAAATTCCTTGGTGTCTTCATCAATAATAAGCTAAATTTCCAGGGGACACATTTTAAATATAGCAAAAAGAGTTTCTAAAACTGTTGGCATTCTTTTTAAGATCAGATATTATGTACCTTGCCCTGCCCTGGTGATGCTTTATTACACTTTCATCTAACCTTATCTCAATTATGGTATTTGTGCTTGGAGTTCTACTACCCAAAATCATCTACATCCTCTAATTACTCAACTCAAAGCTACTATTAAAACAATATCAAACTCTGGCCCCAGACAGCACTCAGTACCTTTACTTAAATCTTTGAATATGTTAGATACTAAGCCAGTGCACATCCTCTCAAGTGTACTCTTTATATTTAAAACTCTGAACTATAAAGCCAATCCTGACCTTCAACACTTCCTAGAAGGTTGTAACCCATGCACACCACACCAGATACAAATACCTATTTGATATTCCAAGAGTGCGACTTAACCAAACCAGAAATGCTCTACAGATCAAGGGACCCAAAATGTGGAATGACCTTCACAATCATGTTAAAGGCTGTACCTCTCACAACAAGTTTAAGATAAAAACTAAGTACAACCTAATAAACTCCATGTTACCTACCTTACCCCCTAAATGTCAACCGATGTTCTGCTATTTTAAACAATACTGTTTGTTGACAACTTGTATAATTGCTGTTTCTGTCATGTTCCCTCCCCCCTTTTTTTTATTCCTTTTTCAATGCAATTTATACTTCAATCTCAATTACTATCAAGTTTTAGTCTAAGTTTTTTTCCCCCACACCTTGCTCGAAATGCTGTGTGTATTAGTGGCTTTAGGTATTGTATGTACTAGCTTTATCTATAAATCCAACATTATGTTTGTAACTGATACATTTTAGTAAAATGTATATTAACATTTTTACTACAATATAAATTGACAAGAAGTGATTACACTGGTGAAGAGCTGTCTTAAGTACACATTCAGTGGAACCTCGGTTTACAAATTACCCACTTTACGAATCTTTCGGTTTACGAGCTCAATTTCTTGGAAAAATTCAACTCGGTTTATGAGCTTTGCCTCGTTTTGTGAGTTTGTTGATACACGTATGAGTCGACTGAGCATGTGGTTCCTGGTGGGCAAGGGCGAGGTGAGCTTCAGTTTACCGGTGTCTCCCACCTAGTGACGATCGCACTTTAATATTGTATTTGAAAGAATAACAGGATGGATGGTGGGGGACTGGCTGGATGATGAGAAAACAGGATGTATGGTGAGGAGACATGATGGTGGGGTTGAGTACCCAAGGGTTAGTCAGCTTCTTGTGGAGCTCCGTCCTTGGAAGGGTCAGTAATTTGACCTTTAGGAAGGGAGGACCTCGATATAAGCCTAACATGTATATATACACTCTGGCTGCCTGTCCCCAACAGAGTGAATTATTATTATTATTTATATACATGTTAAGTCTGTATCGAGGTCCCCTCCCTACGCCCACAGGATGCGCCTAACAACAAGCTACTCCTGAGTAGCTAGCTATGCTTACTGCTCGGTCAACAGAAGCATTAGGTGATAGTAAATGCTTCCAAGCATTCCTGTCCCACCCAGGATCATCACCTACATTTGCCTCATATGGGCCAATAGACCTTATGCAGTTACCTTCCTTCATTCTTACTCTCATATTTAAAGTTCACCAGTGTTTATTTACTTAATAACTACTGAAATAATATCTTGCTATTATTAATATAAGAACACAGTAATATAAAGACATTTATCTCAAGTTTCATGCAGAGAATGCATATACAGGTATAGCTAACATGAAGGTCTCCTCCTTGATGAGACTCGCCAGTAAAAAATATTTGTTTATATTAAAATCAATCTTCTGGTTTGTGTAGTAGAGAAAAATTTAATTATACATTTTACGTAATGCTACGATTGGTCTGGACCTGTCGTAGCGAGACGCTGTGTACTTAGGAAGATTTTCACTCTTAAAGGCCTTCCTGAACACCAACAGAGCCCCCACAAGATGGTAAGAACAAAAACATTCTTAAGTACAGTACTTGCATAACTGCTTCGTGAATCTAGCCCCTGGTGCATCCCCTACATGGATTATTGCATTCATGCATGGAGACCTCATCTTCAGAAAGACATAGCAACTCTGGAGAAGGTGCAACACCGGGCAACAAAAATTACCAGAGCTTAGTCATCTTACATATCAAGAATGGTTGAGGGCCACTGGACTAACACTGCAAACCAGGCATGACAGGGCAGATCTCATCAAAACCTTTAAAATACAGAACAATTTGGAAGATGTCGACACGAATGAGGAGCAACGGTATCAAGCTCAACAAATCCCAATGTAGGACAGAAAACAGGAGATTTTTTTACTCATAGGGTTGTAAACTCATGGAACTGCCTACCCACCAAAGCCGTAAATGCCAAAACTCTACTGGGTTTTAAAATACAGGTGAAAATGATCATCAGGGCACATGGAGGGACCTTTGACGAGTCACCGGCTTCCTGTCCTTATCGAGGCCAAAGTGTTGGTGGCCCTCGGGTAAATTCAGGTAAATTTAGATGTGTAATGTCAAGCTGATTGGACAGTAGTTTTCTGCTGAGCTCTTTCTACATTTTTAAAAAAATAGGTGACATTTACATGTCAAGGGGACTTCAATCAAGGAGACTCTCCCTATGTCCAGAGATTTTATGAAAACTAGTTTCAGCAGTAGGCATAGTTCTTCTGCCAGTTCCTTTATGACTTTGGATGAGATTCTGTCCAAACCTGGGGTTTTCGAGTCTTTTAGTTTGTCAATACTCTAGTAGATTATGTCACATGGTATGGGTATATCCTTTAATCCATTCTCTTCATCTTAAAACATTTGTGTGGGTGATGGAATGTCATCTATCCTTTCTAGTGTGAACACTCACATAAAATATGCATTAAGTGTGTTTGCTGCTGTTAAGATTGATAAAACCTTCTTTGTTTTGTTTGGTAATAAATTCAACAACCACAGATAAACTGATCAAACCATACAGCAAGCCAAAGGCAAAAGCATTTTCCATTTCCACTGCTTAAATGTCATCAACCATGATGAGGTCCAAATAAATTAACTCAACACTGAATAAGGATGAGAGAAATGAGGAGAATAAAGAAAAAAATACTGAGTACATAATAAAAGAACAGCAGGTGGATCAAAAGGTAATAAAGGACCTACAGGAGGGATCAGGAAGCTATTGATGAGGCAGTTGATAGATCTGCAGCAATTGATTAATAGCAATCGTCTAGGTGGGATTTCCGTTGTCAACCAAAAGAACCCAGAGGGTGAGACACTTTGAATGTGAGCAGAGTTGAGGATATGAATTTAGTACTCCTAGCAAGAGTATCAGAAGTTTCAGAGAGAATTAAACAAAAAAAATTCATTTTAAGAAACCTTGCAAATGAAGAGGGTTAAAAATGATCAGCAAATCATTGAGGCAATAAATGAAAAACTGACTGGCAAGGAGGAGGATCTTAACATTTCGAAGGTTGGGAATGTAGGCCTGAGGCAAATGGTACAGTATGCATAACCATTGCAAATGTCGAACACTTGTGGAAGATACTCGGAAGTGCATATAAACTAAAAGGAAGGTACAACCAAGTTTACATCCCTCAGGGCTAACAGTAGAAGAGCAAAAAAGCGACAAAATACTAAGAAACAAACTAAGAGTTAAGAAGCATGGACCAATACTGAGATTGAAAGCTAAGGATAAGGAGAGGGCAGGTGATCATGACAGTGGATGAAAGACGGTGTAGTCCTTCACCCAGTCAGGCAGAACTAACCCTATACTTCTTTGAAGACAAACAAACAAAACCCAAAGTAACTATGTAGGAAATAATAGTGTGCAAAATGCTGGGAAAATCTCCCAGCCTCCTAGGAACAATGTCAAGAGTTTAATTGCTCCTACACAAATGCCTGAAGCTTACTGAATAAATTTGATGCATTGAGTGCCACTTGAGGCTGTGAACCCTGATATCATTGGCATCAGTGAAACATGGGAGCGAGAAGACAATGTAAGGGCAAGAGCTTGTAAGCCATACCCTAGAGTACAAACTCACAAAACCTATCCTTAACTTTCTTGCTTATAGTATGGATGGCACTCTAAAACTGGGATGTCAAGCCAATAGGTATGTTAACACTTCAAATACACTAGTAACCATGTGGGGCTGGTATCATATTTTTAAATTGGCGGGACACTACAATCAATGTGTGTGTATTACATTTCATGGGGGAATTCCATCTTCCGGGACACCATCCACCTGTCAGAGAGGACAGAATAACAAGAGTAGGTGATGTAATGCTTTATGTAAAAAGAGTAATTGAATGCATCTAGCAATGAGGAATTAAACACCAGGGGATCCTCATAATCTATATGATGCAACATACTGGCTCAAAATGGTAGCAAACGCTGGAATTATGCTACAGAAAAGACACAGCAACAACAGTAGAAGTAAATGATCTGAGCAAGGTGATCAATGCACTAACAAAAACCAAAGCCCTTATAATGGGGGGGCTTTTAATCATGAAACAATAGACTGGGTGAATCATCTATCAAACAAGCAGCAGGAG